AACAAATCTGGCTGCTTCTGAAGCCTGGTTAAAAACGGCCGTGAGGGTAACCAACTGCCCTGTCCTGCCTTCATTCTTTGGCTGGACTTTCCGGTGTGTCTGACCAAGGTCAGTCAGATGTCTCCTGGGTTAGCATAACCAGTTCACCCTAATATATGTTTATTTAGCTCTGGTGCAGTTTTTCATCGATTTTTCAATTACCAGAAGAGCCAATCTCGTTTTGTCAAACAGGTTTACAGCACTTCTAAGAAGCTCAGTCTATATTTAACCTGTGGCCTATTTTCAGTGTAACTTAGCACAGGAGAAGGTGAACTCCAGCCTCTTTTCCTCTTCTACTGGTCATTTCTGGAGGCAATCTTAGAGTTATGTCACTTAGCGCCAGTGTCCCATCTCTGTGGGTTGGGGACAGCTCTGGCTTCTGTTGGCACCAACTCTAGATTCTGAACAGCAAATTCATAGCACATTTTTGCCTTGAGTGCTTGTCTCACTGTTTTGAAGTCTTGTTTTCTGGCGTGCTTCAGCATAATGTAGTTGCTTCCCAAATTGTACTTATTGCTGAATGCGACAAGTGCTGTGTACCTGTGCCTTGCAGAGTGCATGGACATTGTTAGCCAAGATGTGCTGTGAAATGGTCTTCAGACAGAAGACAGAAGTAGCCTCTCTGTGATTTTGGTGGTGTTTGTGGTTTTTTTTCTTTCAGACATTTAATCAAACTTCCTTTCCTGTTAGCTTCAGAGCAAATTGTTTGTTGGTTTGGGATTGATTGGGGTTTTTTTTAGCAAACTCCGCTTTTTGTGTTGACAGTGCTTAACGGAAAGCTTTATAGAGCACATTAATCAGTTGTATTAATGGGTGTTGAGTCTGTGGGTTTTCATTGCTTGAATTGGTGTGCATTGACATAAAGCTTGTAAGCCCTAACCGCGTAGTTTGAGGTGCTGTGCAAACACATACCACAGAGACTGTCCCAGCCACAGAGCACTTATCTACTCGGTGTTACAGTTTTGCACATGTAGACCAAATTCTGCTCTTGTACACATGGCAAAAAAATTACACTGGCTGACTCTAAGAACCAATCCTTGTCTCAATTCATTTCATCCAACTTGACATTTGCAGCCGAGACATGCTATTTCCTTTCTTGTCAAGAAAGTAGCCAGATATGATGCCTTCTTTTTGTATTCCTTTGCCCTTGTCAGGACTGTTTTGCCTCCTCTTGCTTGGTAGTTTAGATGTTTGAGGCCGTGTTTTGAACTTGATGGTTCTAAGTGCTTCTCCCTCCTTGTTACATTTTGCAGGCGCTGGTCCGTCTTCCTCCTCACATTTCACAGTGCGATGAAGTCTTCAGGTTCTTCGAGGCTCGCCCAGAAGACCTTAACCCTCCAAAAGAGTAAGTGCTGTGACGGATTTACAGTGCTGTTCAGTTCATTTTGACAAGCTGAAAATAAAAGGTCACTTGTTTTTATTACTGCTGTAGGTGTGGGAACAGATTTTGTAGCTTTCAAGCACTACCTAGAAAATGCCCAGCAATTACATACAACTGCATTGGGTGTGTGGAGGACAGGGGAGTCAAGCAACCCTCAGACATGATTTTCAGCCATTCTCCACCCACCTTTGCATTGTTCCTTGCTGATGGTTCTAATGGGGGAACCTCCCCTGGCTTGTGAGTTTTACCTGATAATTATCACCAAAGAGTCATTTAGTTCTCAAAAGCATTGGCTCAGCAGCAGGGGGAAATCCTGCCAGTAAGCACTTGGCTTATAATTACCAGCTGCTTCTTTAAATGTACTCCTGCCCAGAGATACTTAGTTATCTGAAGGGAGCAAGATTGTGGTCCAGATCCAAAATTGTCTCTGGAGAGTCTATTCTTCCTCAGCAGGCAGCCAAGGAAAGGCT